AACAGAAATAGATTATGAAAATAGTGCTTTTCTTCTGCTGCATCCATGGCTGCTGGTCTTCTTCTGATTACCGTCTATCGTATTTATTCCATGCCACCGGACCAAAACGATAAGCTGTAGCTTTCATTGTAATTACAGTTTTTTTTCTACTCTTTTGTTTTGTTTTTCTATATATTAATTTAATAAAGGTTGATGTTGACAAATAGCATCACATATTTAACATTTCTAATAATTCATAATGGGATGGCATTAATTCTTTAAAACAAATAGGCAATATTTAAAACCCAGGAAACAGATGTCGCAATATCGAAAGATCTCAACAACCAGTCATGGAGATAATGGTGGTCAAAGCCAAGACTATTTTACTATCAAGGTCACTGTTATAACAAAACAATTTGATGAAAGGGTTAAATTGATACCATTTTATTAACGTTAAGGACTCATTTAGAACAATTTAAAGATAAACTTCATTAAAAAGTAAAACCAAGTTGAAATTTGTTGTCATAAAAAAAATTGGATTGATTCCTTCTAATCACACAACAGAAGTAAAATACTGAAAATTCACAAAAATACCAAACAAGAAATAATTTTATTAATATGATAGTTCGTCAACTGATAATTTTGATGAGGCTACCATGCAAGCACACTGTACGAGAAACAGAGTCAAGTTCGTCCATCATGATGACTTGAGCACTCCAACAATTGCCATTGAGTAGTCTTTTTTTAATAAAAAAATTGCCTTGACGGTTTATGATATATGAGATATCACCTCACTCTGTTTTTTTGACTTAATCAAGTAATGACATTTGGCCTACGATTGTGTGCGAATAATATCACAAAACACAATAAAAAATAAAAAGAAGGATAGAATGCAATTAATTTTCGGTGCGTCGAAGGATTTGTACTGTAAAAACCAATAATTTTTATATTATAATATTGTTTAACAAGCAATAATTTAAGTTCGGTTTTTACTTTTATTTTCTCTGGACAAGTATATACAGATGTTCGTATATATCTTACATGATATTTATTTCATTGATATCAAAGTAAGATTGACTTGTGTTTTGATTCATTTTATATATTTTTTATAATAAAAAATATGATATCTTTTTGCATACTTACAAATATGCATAAAAGTTAATATAATTTTTATAGTTGTGATATAATTAATGTTATTATAATAATTTTTAGAATATAAAAATCATTGATGTTTTGTAATTTGAATCTTTTTTTTTGGGGGGGGGGGGTTTTATATGGGCATTCGAATGTTCGACGGAGGACGTTTGTATGCCCTAGGTAAAATTTTAAGAATTAATGGCTATTTTTTAAAACAAAAAAAAAAGTATTCAAATGCATATCCGAATATTCAAGGAAGCATTCGAATTTTTTTTTTGTTTTTTCAAAAATATTCTTAAAATTTTTTAAAGATTTTTTTTAAAATTATTTTTATCTTTAATTGAATTTGGAATGTCAAATCACACAAGAATTTGAGATAAGTCTTAATTATTTTTTTATTTGTGTTGACTCATGGATTGATGATTTTTTCTCGTATCTTATTACAAAAAATTAGGACTATTTTTGTGAGGACTTCCATTGTTATAAGGACATAGGCATAATCTTTTAGAGTTATAAGATTGACAATGAAATTAATGCAACACCAAATGAATCCAAATGATAATATTGAGAGGCATAGCATCAAGGTCAATGACATAATCTAAAAATTGATCTAGCATGGCTGTATACACATTAGGAATGACCATACTAAATATTAAATGTTGAAAGGTGTATTTTTGACTCTTTGATAAAAAAATTTTTTTTTAAGATATCTGGATGTCTTTGAAGAATTATACTAAGTATGAAATATTAATTAAAGATTTTTGTAAAGGAATATGTGAGAGGTAAAAAAGAGCGCGACACTTTCAGTCTATCCAAGTCTCCGTAATGAAAAATATAAAATTCTTGAACCTCCATGAATGGGCAATGAGAATACAAAAAGGAATTTTTGAAATCCATCCCTATTCTTAAATAAGTCATTCGTAAATTATAAGGAACATGTTTTATTAACATTTAGTATGTATATATATTTTTTATGAACATGTTTATTAAT